CTATGGACAGACTCCTCGTAGCTCCATCGGAGATGACCATGGCTCTGGGGAAGTATTCCCATCGGCTGGTCGGTCGGATTGGCTCGTCGACTAAGCTGGGTGCTTCGGGGATGCCGAATCCTCTGTTTGCGAACCAATCCTCGGGGCGGCTGACGCACAGCGCGACCTGGAGTCTCTCGCCGTCCTCTGGGGAGGGGAGCTCCTCGATTTTCTTTGCCTCCGGAGCCTCCGACCTGGGTGGTTCACCTCCCCGGGTGTATCGCTTTAGGTGCCCGTCTTTGATTAGGATTTCGATCGCGTCTTTGAGATGGATGCAGTCTTCCGTTACATGCCCGTGGGTCCTGTGGAACCGGCAGTACTTTGACTTGTCCACGTTGGGTTTGGGCGGCGTTGGTCGTGGAAAATGGACACCTCCCTGCACAAACTCGGTTTTAGCGCATTCGGCCAGTATGCGTTCGCGTGAAGCGACCAAGGCGGTGTATTCGGTGAACCTTCCTGCCGGGCCGCGTGACTCGCGCTGTTCGCGGGGTTCGCGGTGGCGGTCATCCCGACGGCGGTCCCCTCCTCGCCGGTGGCTCGAAGCTCCGTCGTCTCGGTGCCCGCGGGGGGCTTCTCTGTCTCGGGTGTCGCGAGCGGAGTTGGCCGCTTGTGTTTCCTCGAACCGGATGTAATGGGCGGCCCTGTCGAGGAAGTCTTGGAGGGACGTGGGCCGGTGTATGCCTACGGCCTCGTAGAATTTGGAGTCATGGCGCAGGCCTTGCTCCATTAAGTAGCGTTTCATTTCGTCGGAAGTCGTCACCTGTACGGCTTCCCGAGTAAACCTTTCGATGTATTTCCGGAGGGGTTCGTCGGGGCCTTGGATGATCGCCCCGAGGACTGCTTCCGTCTTCGGATGACGCCGGGACGCTGTGAAGTGTTTGGAGAATAGGTCCTTCAAGACCCTCCACGATGTAACTGATTCGGGCTCCAGGCTTTTGTACCAGGTCATAGCGCCTTTCCTCAGAGTCGTCGGGAAGAGTCTGCATTTAATAGCTCCCCGGACATTTCGGTAGTCGAGCATAGCCTCGATGTCTTCCAGATGATCGTCCGGGTCGGAGGTGCCGTCGTACGTTGACAGCGTCGGTGGCTTCTCCATTCCTTGGGGTATGGGGGCTGCCATGATCTCCCGGGATAGTGGGGTGCGGTAGTCATCCTCGTCGCTGTGCGCCGGGGATCTCAGGGGAGATGAGCCGTTCGCGGTGTGTCCCGGGTTTCGGGTCCTCGATCTCCGGCCTGAGTTCCCGCCTCGGGGTTCCTCGGTTGGGGTCGCCGCGGCATTCTGGTTCCTCCCGCGACCGTGCCTTGCCGGGGATCTGGTGCGCTCCCGTGTCGCTTGCGGTCGGCGTCTCTCCAGCCGCGGTCGGCGGTTCCTGAGTCGAGGTGAGGGGCTCCTCGAACCTCCGTTCTGGTCTTCCCGCTGGGGGTACCTCAGGGAGCCGCCGCGTTCTAATGCTCCAATTCTAGCGTTCTGTTGGGACAGCAGCTGGTTCGTCTGGTTGATGGCTGCAAAGAGAGCGGCTACCGTTGGGTCTGCTCCCGCCGGGATGGGAACGGGGTGGAATGCTGGCGGGCTCGGGGGGAGGTGGTCGGCGTGTAGGGGCCGTTCCTCGGACGATGGTGAGGCAGTTTGCCCGTCCCTTTCGTCGGCTTCATTCAGGCGTGTCGTTCCTACCTGCTTCCCGTTGGTGGTAGTGTTGAGCGTGAGATCGTGCGGAGTTCATCGCGGCGTGGGCTGGCCATGACCGTGGAGGTTTGGTGAAACTTTTGGTTTTTCTGCTCGGAGTAACGGGGAAGTTTCAGTTTCCCACAGACGGCGCCACTGATCTGACCTGATCAGGAGGGGATCACGGGATGGCCACGCTCCGTTAGGCCGCTCCCTGTTCACCGGTGTTGAGGATGAGGAGGGGGTGTACCTGCAAAGCACTCCGACGCCCAAGTAAGAAGTTGGACAGAGAGGAAGCAATAGTACAGAAAGGGGGCAAGAAGAGTTACCTGACCCTCTTGAAGAAGAGGGTATTTATAGAGAGACCCCAGCGCTGGGCCAACGGTCATTCGAGGTGGGCTGGACGACCAGGCCCAACCCTAATGACTGCTAGGGCTTACGTGGCGTAGTGAAGACCAGGACGTGGTCTTCGCCCTAGTTCAACCGCTCCTAGATCTCCGGAAGGTGGGTTTGACCTACTCTTTCGGAGGTGGGCAGTTGGCCGATGACGTGTCCCCGCGGAGGGGAGCACGTGGAGAATGTGCGCCGAGCACGTTATTCTCCCGCGGAGGGAGCCCGGGTAGTCTTGCTCGTCCGGTGTGACGGGCGACAAAGGGGATGCGGTGCGATGGCTTGTGCCCGGCGGACGATCCTGCTCGTCCGAAGGGGCGTGTGCCAGGTGTGCTCAGTTCGCCTGTTGGGCCGTATTTGGTATTGGGCCTGCCGAGGTGAGGCCCACACCGGAACACATTACTTAACTGCAGAAAATTTGAAGAATAAATGATCAAAATAATTCACAATAGCAAATGCAAATTCAGAATTTTATGAATTTGATAAAATTCTTGCTTCTCACCTCATAAGAGATATGAGTGCCTCTACAACCTTTTGGGACACTTGTACAAGGTGTTCTTTCCAGCTATATATTCATTATGTATTCCTGATTACATGGTATTATTCAAACAAAACAGAAAAATATGTTCAATTATAATGTTGTGACTATTTTCTTATCAGTTTGGCAGAGTTCTTCATCTGTTGATACGTCATGAGGAAAGTTCTTCCAATTCGATACCTCAATATAGATAGCATGTAATCATCATATGTTGATCATATTTAAGGTGGAATGCACTTCTCGCATAGCAAGAGAATCCTGCATTATTTTGAATAGAAAAAGTCATCTAATGTGATATAAGATGCAAAGAGCATAACACACCAAACACGTTTATTACAATACTATGTTGAACCCTAATTCCCAATTACATAATTTTTGGGTACGAATTCAAATCAATTTCATAATTTATGAATTCCAATAAAATAAAAACTCTAACCCAATCAATAATTCATGTGTAATAACTATAATAAATTTGATTTTCGAAAAATATACAGATTGAGATGGATAGTCACAACTATCTATAAAATCAGATGACGACATTGAACTATTTTTTTGAACCAACCACATACATTTACAAACAATTTGATAAACACTGCAACCGATCCGAATTACACGAACATTTTCTTTGAAAGCTAAAAATTGAACATGAACACGGTTACGAAATTGGGTGAGAGAAGAGGTCGAAATTGGGAGAAGAAATAAGAAGATGAAGGAGTTTGAAGAACAGGTCAGTGAGATTTTGAGATTTTGGATTTTCAATCGCAATTCCGACCTCATAAATTGGTAGAAGAAAGAAGAAGAATATAGAGTTCAAAGAGCAAAGTGAATGAGATTTAGAGATTTAGCATTTTTAATTGAAATTTTAACCTCTGAAGTTGAAAAAATAAGAAGAAAAATAAGATTGATGACAGTTGTTAAATAAAAATTATTAAATTAAAATAAAAGTTATTTTTAATTTATAAATTATTATTAATTTAATGAAAGACTAATCTGTAATAATTAAAAACTTTCTGCACTATAAAATTGATGTGGCTTAAGGTATAATTTCCTACACTATAAAGCTAATGTAACTTAAGACATAATTTTATTGGTCAATTAAAATAATTTCATTAAAGAAGTAAATTCTATAACTTCACCGCCGTAGAAGCTTCATTTTCTAAATGTGAATATGAGAAGTGAGGAGTGATACTATACTATCCAGCCTATTAGATAACCTATTGGAATTTGGAACAACTTCTTAAACCTATTAGATCATCTTTAGTGGGAGTAAACTAAATTGGTAAACTAAGATACTTTTTGTGGGCCTAAAGTGTTTTGTAGGATTTAAAATATTTATAATTGATTTGAGTTGTTTTTATTTTAATGATGGTTGCTTGTAAAAAACCAAAACTTGATCCTATATTTTATATTTTAATAATATAAAATAATAATTAGAGTCATTGAAATGTGACAGTGTGCGTTGGTTATATAGTTGCCGAAGAATAATTGTTAGTTCACTTAGTGTCATGTCATTCTTATTCCAATGCAAATTGTTTATAACTACCGTTACTATTAAAGAATTTAATACTACAGAACATGCACTAAAGATGTTCTTAGACAAATACTCGACATGTCCTAATTCATAATTTGGGGTATAAGATTAATATTAGAAAATGCAGTATTTCTGTAAAATATTTACTTTTTACATGTGTGTTGTGGATTTTGTGTCTTTATGGAGACGAATTTTTTATCATCTTTGTTAAGCCTTCCTCCTGCTTTTTTGGGATCTTAAACTGTTTTCTTCCACTTTCCACGTTGTCGTTGAACCAATTTTGACTTGGGTCAATTTTCCTAAGTAAGCTCAAGCATGTTGTTTTCATCTTCATTGGTTGCTTAATTGCTCCTTAACTTCAATTTTTGGTTTCAATTTGGTTTGTTTTTAGCTCTCGGTTCCATAATTGGGATCTTTAGCTTGTTTGTATTTTAGGGTTTCAAAGGGTCAATTTGGTTTTTTGGAAATTTGTGTGTGTGTGTGTGTGTGTGTGTGTGTGTGTGTGTGTGTGTGTGTGTGTGTGTGTGTGTGTGTGAATGTTAAGTTATTATTGAGCTATTATTGAGTCATTATTGCATTTTTAATGGTACAGATGTTCCTATTCCCAACGGGTTACTATTTTAACATGTTTAATTTTCATTCATTTCTATATTTATGTTGTTTTGTTGACTCTGTCTTAATCAGTATGATGCTAGTGTTTATTGGGTATTTCATCTAAGTACCAATATAAGCTTTCTCTTTTTTGTTTGTGCTGAAAGTGATAATTGGTGTTTGAATTTGTTGTAGGCTTTTGTTTTTTTTTTTTTGGTTTTTTTAATTCCCTGATTCTGTTACATATAATGGAATCTTGGAGTTATGTTTCCAATGAGAATCAAGGTTCTGAAGAAATGGGGTTTTGTGAAATGTTAGGGAAACAATTTTCAGATGATTTCAATTTCATTGGGAATGTTTCAAGCAAGAAACTTGATGCTAAATTTGGTGACCCAAATGGGTTTTCTTCAAAAGGGGGCTCAATTTCCAAGCTTTCTAACTCTGTGATGGAAACTAATGGTTGGGATTCTCTTATAGATTTGAAGCTGGGACATTTTGGTGATCATGGTCATGGAGGATCTATTTTGTCTTCTTGTGAATCATCAACACCTCCCAAGAGAGTGAGAGTGCATTCACTTAATGCATATTGTCAAGTTTATGGCTGTAACAAGGATCTTAGTTCTTGTAAAGAGTATCACAAAAGGCACAAAGTTTGTGAGGTTCACTCCAAAACTGTTGTAGTCATAGTGAATGGAATTGAGCAAAGGTTTTGTCAACAAAGTAGCAGGTTGGTTAATTTTTCAAGATTATCACTTCTTTCGATTCATTTTAGTGTTTGGTTTGTGTTCTGAATGAGGTAAAATTGATTCTAGAGCTATTGAACTAGTTTTGATATGTTTGAATGTTCTTCAGTATAGTTATTCTGTCATTTGTAGATAGGATTTGGAGTTGTTGCCTTTACAATTAATTTTTAGCCTGAAATTTATTGTTCAATTCAACTCTATTTAAGTAGATGTATAAAACATAAATCTGTTTAACCTCAACTCACTTTTGGTTAGAATCAGTTTTCGGATAAGCTTGAAATAAGAAGTTGTATAGTTATGATATATAGGTGTGTTTGTGATGTTTGGCTTGTTATTCAAGTTTCATTTGTTGTCTGAATTTGATGATGGTAAGCGCAGTTGCCGTAAACGACTTGCAGGCCATAATGAGCGTCGCAGAAAACCACAAGCAGGCGTTCATTCTGCGAATTCCATGAGATTGTTTCAGCCATGTGGTGGTAATAATATTTTATAATGAAAACATATCATGATTGAATTGAACTCTATTCATTACACTCCCTTCTATTTCATATGCGGATTGGTTTGTTGCTTTCTGCATCATTAAATTACTTTTATTTCTTGCAGATATAAGGTTCCACGGAACCAAGCCGCCACAAGCATCTTTTATCTGTCCGGAGGTGTTCTCGAATGGTTTCTCGAGACTGATTAAATCAGAACATGAAACTGGCTTTAGACCTTTATCTTTTGTGCCTGTTGTGAATGGTCATCATCAACCAAGGTCTTCGCTTGCTTCGTACAACGACAAACAATTTCCCTTTCTTCATGAAAATGTTGCCACATCCATTACAGGTAGCAGCATGTTCAGTGAAAACAATAACCATTATGTACATTTCGTTGGCAACACCTCATTAGGAAGGGAAGACTTCAATGCTTTTCATGTAGCATCAACTGTTCGAGGATTATCAGGAATTTTGATATATTGGTTACTTTGGTCTGTGAGGAACAGGAGTATATTTGGCCTCTTTTGAGTATGATGTGAGGAGTTGCCGAACTTTCTAAATATTGATCAAGCTGCTCTGTGGCACCAGTTATGTGCTAGCGAAGATGAAATTATCTGAGTTCGTGAAGAAAGCAAAACTGAGATTCCTATCACAGAAGCTAAGTGAATATGAGGCCACAAACAGTCGCCTCAAGGTGTTTTGTATGTCTTGGTTGATAATTTAGTGGGTTAATGGAAAATTTACTTCTGAATACATTTTATGATTCAACAGTCTAAAATGAAGGCAGAGGTAGATCAGTCTGAAAATTTAGCTGTGTTTATAAAATATTTTGGTTTGAAGTACTCTTTGCCAAATTAATACATAGATACAATTCTTTCTGTATTTATTATGGCAGTGGTATAGATATATATGGTATCACATTTGTCATTATTATTTTATTTTCAAATGTTTTAGCTGCTTAGTCATTATTATTTTATAAATTCTAATTTCGTAAAATGCAAATGCTATATATATATATATATATATATATATATATATATATATATATATATATATATATATATATATATATATATATATATATATATATATATATATATATATATATATATATATATATATATATATATATATATATATATATATATATATATATATATATATATATATATCAAAAGAATGATTTTGTGTAAAAAAAAAGTGTACTACAATAGCGTTTTGAAGAGAGTGCTATTAATGATACGTACTATAATAGCACTTTTATGGAAAAGTGTTATCTAATATGTGTCTTATAATAGCGTTTTGTTTGAAAGTGCTATCAAAATCAAAGCAAATTACCGGTACTATAATAGCGCTTTGTTTGAAAGTGTTATCTAATATGTGTCTTATAATAGCGTTTTTGAAAAAATGTTATTAAATACCGGTACTATAATAGCGTTTTTGGAAAAACGCTATTAATTACCAGTACTATGATAGCGATTTTAAAGCGCTATCAAAATTTTTGTTTTACAATAGCAGCTTGGTTAATAGTGCTTTTAAGCGCTATCAAAAAGCAAAAAAAAAAAAAACGCTATTAAATAGCTTTTTTGTAGTAGTGGTTGGACATATGAAATATAGTTTTAAATTATAAATTGATAAAATATCATTTAAAGGTACATGGTACATTTATACCAAATTAATATTTTTTTTACGATAAAAAGTTGTCACCTGTATTTTAATATTTATAACAAATATTTATTTGTTATATCTTTTTATTATATTTATCAAGCACAATGATATAAATTCAAATCAAAGTTTTCAAACCAACAGAAATCATACATAAATCATACATAGAGACATGTTATTGTAGTACAACTTGATTAAAGATTGAACATTCTTTCTTTTATTTATTGACAGAAAATGATTGAACATTCTTTGATGAGCCAAAATATGAAGATAATAAAAATAACAACACAAATTTTATCATATAAAGTGAGGTTACTATATTAATCCATGTTTATCATAATATTCTATCAAATATTATTCATTTATTCAAATTTTTAATTTTGAAAAAAAATTATTAGTTTTTTTTATTATTATTTTACTTTTAATTGTTTGACTTCTTTTCATCTAATATATCCGCCTTATCATATAATTTGCCAATCTTTTTTCTACATGATAAACACATTTAAATAAAGAGATAAAAAATATTAATACACAAAGAAAGAGTGAGTAGAAGAGAGATCATTTAAATTTGAAATATGAAATTTTTTATAACCAAGTGACATATTACTAAAAGAGACTACAAGGGAGTATTCTAACCCTTACAAAGAAGGCGAACACTAATTACATTCAAAGAGAAGGAACCGTAAATCAATCGTATCAACTACAATTCGATACATAAAAGCTACCTACAACTAACCAATTCCAAGTCAAAAGTTTAATGGAAAGGGTAGCTTCGTCCACACCAAACTTTCTCCCTTTAAATATAACTTTCTTCCTCCCCATCCAAATAACTCAACAAGCTGCTATCCAAAACATCATGGCCTTCTTGATGCCGAAATCTTTCCGCATAATCCCCCAAGAAGAGATCAATGAAACTCTTTGACACAGATTACCTCCAAAAGCACAGTTTAACCAATCCCCTAATCTCCTCCAAAAAGATCGAACAACCGGACAATGAAAGAAAAGATGAAGCATGGTCTCTTCATGGACAGAACAAAAGACACACGTAGAATTGGATAAGTTAGTAATACCTCTATGGATCAAATTATCCTTTGACGACAATCTGTCTAACAAAAGTCTCCAACTAAAGAGAAGGAACTTGGAAGGAACTGTAGTTTTCCAAATAATATCGAGGGTTGTCACCAAGTCCTCTTCCACCTCTATCGATTGAGAATTCTGCAACACAACATAGCAAGAAGAAACGGTAAATAGAAGAAAATCATTTGGAATCCAACGGAACGGATCACGAACGGATGATAAAAGTTGCCTCAACTCCAATTTTTCCATAAGATCTTCCTTTATCCAGTCTGAGCCAGCTACATTATCCTGCTCCCTAAGGTAGAGATCCCACGACCACAACCCCTCTGACCATTTCCCATATTGGCTATGCAGTTGACTTGCAAACTAGAACGCTCAAACAATTCTAAATATGCCTCCTTAAGGATCTGCTAACTTAGCCACCTGCTCTACCAGAAATCAATTTCTGAACCATTTCCCAACGACCCCCTTAAGTTGTCACAGAAACAATCCCGACTCAATCCCTCGTCGCACCCCGCACTAGACAAATCTCTCCATCATACTGAATCGTTGCTTCTCCCTCTTCTAACCCCTCTACTCAGAATAGGAACCCTGAATGAATTGTACCTATGATCAATCAACTTAAACCATAATGCCAACAATTCATTTAAAATCCTCCACTTCCACTTCAAAAGAAGGCAAACATTGAATAAGCTAATGTTCTTAACACCTAGCCCCCCTTTATCCTTAGGAAACAAATTGTGTCCCAGCTAACCCAATGTATGGTTTTCTTCTGCGCCACTCCCCCATAAGAAATTACTCTGAATTTTCTTGAGCTATTTCAACGTAATCCTAAGCACTTTGTAAAATGAAAGCATGAATGATGGAATAGCATTAAGAACCGATTTAATCATGACTACCCTTCCTCCCATCGATAGGCACCTACCTTTCCACGAAGGCAGACTCCTACTTACGTTATCGACCACCCCTTCCAACGACATGCTCTCCTGGGAGAAGCACCTACCATCACACCCAAGAATTTAAACGGGAAGGTATCGATACAACAGTTAAGCAAGGAAGAAACAAAATATAAAAAATTAGAACTCATGTTAACCCCATAAAGTTTGCTTTTAAAAAGTCAACCTTTAAGTCGGACACCAATTCAAAGCTCCGAAGAATGGTTTTGATGCTCCATAGATTAAACCAACTTCTTTCCCCCATTAAGATTATTTCATCTGCAAACTCGAGAATGTTGAAAGAGACGCCTCCTCGAAGCCTCTTGTCGCACCTAAAAAATTCCAAATATGACCATCGCGCAAAAGGCGCGGAAGAATGGTTCAGACAGAGTCACCACCGAACTTTATTTATCCTAAAAGAGGGAAAGGAAAATATCGATAAAACTTTTTAAGAGATAAGAACATGGTCTTCACAACCACATTCTGGGTTCGGAAGTCAGTTATGTAAAGGGAATGTATTAGCACTCCCTCACGTCCGTTGTACTCAACGGGAACCTCTTAGTTTGAATTGTGATGAGTGTTAGCTAAGCTTTTTTGTTTTCTTCTAAATGAGTAAAGCAAAAAGGTACAATAAAAAGGAATCGATGTTAAGGGGAAAATTGGTGGTTTTTACAAAGGGTGCCCGCCAAGGATTGGGGCCCTTGTGCCTACGTATTTTCATTCGGACAAGAATGAAGAATTAGAGCATTCTTAGTTCGACTACGGGAGGAGAGGTTTGGATAGGAGAAGTTGGAAAAAACAAAAGGTAGACGTAAATGGGGGAAAAAGAAAAAGGTAGCTTGCCAAGGATTGTGGCCCTTGTGCCTACGTATCTTTATTCAAACGAGAATGAAGAATCGGTGTGTTCGTAGTTTGTGGAACTATTGTATTGTTGGGTTTGAGTTTTAGGTATGAAATATTGAATGACTAGCAGCCCAAGGGGCGAGCCTCGAGAGCATTCACTCAAGAATCCAAGGAATACAAGACACCAAGAACTCAGTTTTTTTGTGATTCGATTAGATAGGTTTGAGAAAGGTTGAGCGTTTTAAAGTCGAAAGATTAAATGAATGACAACCCAAAGGGCGTACCTCAAGAGCCATTCATTCAAAGATCTAAGGAATGCTAGACTCCAAGAATCTCCTTATTTAGTAAGTTGATCAAGAAAATGTTTGATAAAGATTAAGTGTTTTAAGACGAAAGGTTGAATGAACAACAAACCAAGGCGTGCACCTCAAGAGCCATTCATTCGAAGATCCAAGGAATGCTAGAATCCAAGAACCTTATTCTTTTGTAATGTTGATTGAGAAAATGTTTGATTAAGTATTTGAATCGGATTAGGGTTCGTGAAAATAGGTGAGGATCGATCCTAGTCCCTAGGGTGCTCCTAGTAACGAAACCACAAAAGGTGCGAGTGTGTGCATTAGGTTGATGGTGAATGCTAAAGAGAAATCGGCTTAAAAGGGTGTTTTGAAAATGGCTCAACGACGAATCGAGAATTAGTTTGAAAATGGTTTAGTCTATGCTAGTTCCTAGGGGTGCTCCTAGTAAACAAACCACAATCAAAAAGCGAGTAAAGTGCATACATCAGAATGGGAGCGGAGTACATGTAAGTTACACAAGACTGTGAGAAATAAATGGGGTCATTGTCAGGTAGCCCAAGAGGAAACCGTGTGTGTGCAAGGTGTCCTAAACTAAGCCACGAACAAGAGTTCAGAAAAAATATCCTTTGCTAGGGTTTCTGTACAAAGTCTAAACTCCATGTCTCAGAATAGTAACCACAGTCTACCAATTGAATCTTTTAGGGTTTCAATA